CTGAATGGAAAGTTTTATATCAGGCTGCACATCCCCAGAAGAACTTAACACAGGCTGTGAAAGGATAAGGACAGTGAAATCCCCACACAGAAGAAGTCAGCACTTATTGATTCCCTGTTCTGAGGGGGAGCACGGCTGACAGCAGTGCAAGCTGTCCTGGTTTGACACTGGACACTACACAGCTCTTTAACGAAATCAGATGTGTGCGAGCCAGAAGGTGGCATCTCGGAAAGACTAATGCCTGTGCTTGACTTGACCAAGGGGGAACAGCCACTGAAGTAATTGCAGTGGAAATTAAACTTGTGAAGTACAAGTTAATCTTGATATTTTGTTTTTTTTAGGGAACTCTTGAGTGTGTTTTTCCCAAAGTGCCATTTGCTGGAGGTATGCCATTAGATGTTGTTTCATTCAAGATACATGCTTCTAATCTTACAGGTGAGAAATAAAGGATAACAACCTGGGCTCAGTAAAGACATTAAAAACAAGCAACACCAAGACCAATCCTATTATAGTGTTGTTTCTTAAATGTTATGACTGCTGGAACTTGAACCATGACTTGCAAATTGTCAAGGCTGTTATCACTGTGCGTTTTCTTGTCCAGTCCTTTGTTATTAAGTTATACTGCTATACTTAAACTGGAACATTGAACCATCCCTCCACAGAAACTTCTCCCAACATCTCCCAGATCTCCTCTCCAGAATGAACCATCTGAGGTGACTCCACAACAGAATGGCAATTCTATTGTATTCCAGATTTTGGTCTTTCAGTCTTTCTTTCCCAAAGAAAGTTTCTATTGCAAAGTTTCTGTCTTTTTACATGTCTTTTTTTATAAAAGCAGTCACTGGAGTGGTTGATCTCACCAGACATGGATAGGTGAGACTCTGATACCCAGGGTATGACTTAAGCTGAGGCATCTACTGCTGTTTGAAATGTTGTGGGCTATTTTGTCAGCAGGACACCTGATGGGACAGAAGGACACGGGTCCTTCTGCAGGCCTTTTGTCTCTCCTGCTAGTCCCATGCAGATTCAGACGCATGGTGTGATATTTTTTTAGCTGTATTGTGCACAGCCAGGGCTTGGCATTTATGATCCTTGTGGATCCCTCCAGGACATTCCACGATTCTGTGATTTTTGGGATACTTGAGCATACCTCAAATGGTATTAGGTGCCTATTTTATAGGCAGCTGTGTCAAATCCCTACAATTTAACTAAACTCAAGATTAAGACACCTAAATTTAAGTGTCTAAGCTAGGTGGTGTGGTGGTTTGGGCTAGGCCTTCCTTGGTGACCAGTTTGTAACCAAGGAAGGGTCCAGATTTACCCAGTATTCCCTACGATTTTTACGTAAGCCAGGTTATAAGAAGAGAGGAGGAGAGGCTTTCGCTCTCTTTTCCTTCCGGCGGCTTGGAGGTGCAGGTTCCCTGCTGTTGAGTCTGCCGTGTTGGGGAGCGAGGCCTGGTTAGGCCTTGTCGACCCTGGGAGACAGAGGTTGCCAGCGATCGTTCCAGAGCAACTCTCGGTTGTCCCAGGGGAGTAGTGAGCTATTTTTCTTTGCTAACTTTTTAGTTGTTAGATATTGGGTCACTAATTGGGATATCTATATATTTTATTTTAGTTTTGTTCCCTTTCCCTTCCCCCTTCCCTTTCCCTTGTGAAATTGTATATTTTAATTGTATATAAGTGTAAATATATTTATATATCTCACTTTGGTTGTTTCTCTCTCGTTTCGGGTTTTTCTTAGTTTTTTTTTCTCCCTCTTCTCCCTGAGGTTTGGGGGGGGGGACACTTCTGGTGGTAAGGTCTGGAGACTTGGCAGGGAGCCAGCTTCAAACCATATCAGGTGGGTTTATGGACACTAAGGGCATAAACATCTATCAGCAGAAAACATCTTGTCAATAGTGTTTGTGTAGCCTAAAGAACATTCAGCTGGATAGTTAGGAGGGGCTCAGTTTGGGGATGTGCCTACAAATGTTGAGCATCATTAAGTATTCCTCAGAGGGATGTTCTTCTTCCTCCCTTTATAGTCAATGAAGAAAAATTGTGAAATCTAGAATTCATCTAACCTATTTTGGATTACTATTTTTGGATGTGATTGTTTGCAACCTAGAAATGTCTTTTGTTACCACTGTCTATGTCAAGAGTCTATAAGAATACCTCAAAGGCACATAAGTACAGAATGGGCATCTGGGGTTATGTGAAATGAATCCCACACTTTGAGTCATGTGGATTTGTATCTCGTTTTCAAGCCATCCTGTATAGATCAAGATTATCTTCTAAAGACACAAAGCCACAAATTTTCCAGGCAGTTAGGAGCTTATTCTTTCGCTTCAAGATAGGCTGGTCTAAACCAGCTTCAAACTAGAAATTGAGCATTTTTATTGCAGTATTAATAGTAGGACTATTAATAGTAGTATTAATAGTAGGACTAAAAATGTCTAATAATCTCTACTGATTGACAATGAAGGAGGGTACAGCACTGTGCTAACAGACACCTACAACTTGGTGTTTAAGTTGGTTTGCACCCAAATCCTTTGTCAGTTCACTTCAGACTAAAACAAAGATTGTCTAGATGCACCAAAAGTACAAAGGAATATGTTCAAACTCCAATCTTAGGTTTGACCCAAAAGTACTGAACGAAGTTCTTCTCAAGGTTATATTCTTAAAACCTAAGGTCCTCTCTTGCTCTTTCTAACTTTTAATTCCTTAGAGGATAAGAATTTCAAAATATACAGAGTTATGTGAATTGGTTTTGTTTTTTTTTTTCTTGAAAACACAAATCAAAATGTTAATGAGGTATTTTAAAGCCTTTGAAGATTTGGACCTCAGTCTTTTTAGATATATTACAGTTTTTCTTCAAGCAGTAGTTAGTATTTATTCCACTGCAATCTGTAGGTCAAAGTCAAATATTTGCAGCTTTACTCCATGGAGGACAAAAAGCAAGCATTATCATAACAGTATAGTTTTGTATCACAACAGAAATATTGAAAGAGATTATTATTCATTATTCTGCTGAATAATGAAACATTTTGTAAGTGGAAAGAAAATCACATATAATGCAGTTCTATTTTTGCAAAACAAATAACAATAGAACAAAACCCCTACAATATTACTATCCATTAATGCAACAATATCTGTACTTGGAGTGTTGCAAAATGCATAATTACAATATAAACAATTTCCAGAGAGGAGTCTTGTGTGGTCATACTTTAAAACAGAAAAGCATTTTGGCATCAATAAAATGATCTAACTATGACATATGTCAGAAGAAATATATGTGCTTCAATGAGCTGCTAATGCAAGTTCCAATCACCACAGTCTCAAGAGAAACAATCTCATTTAAAATTTGGCAGTCAATTCAAACTGTACTCTTTCTTTTCTCGTCTCCCCTAATTTAATATATAGCAATAAAAACATTTGGAAATAATTAGATGCCAAGTAACCATTAATAATTTACCTTGTGGCAAAGATCCAGTCACTGAAATCAAATATTTCAGTGCTTCCAAAGAAACTGGTAATGTGTCTTTTGTATTTAAGTTCTATAGTCTCCAAAGAATTTGAGAAATGCACTTATCTATATTCTGATATGTAATATAGGCAGAATTTGGCTACAGATAGACATGGTAAGGGCATCCTCTTCATGTTACAATGGGGATCATACAACCTTTGTTTTTCAGGGAGTATTTGTATGCTCTATGTTAACTGTCCAGGACCAGTTAACTAGCAGTAGTTACATCCAGTAAAGACCCAACTATATTTTAAGTTATATGTACTGTCCCATGTTTGAAGCATTTACTCAATACTTTAATAATTATGCAAATAAATGATAAGATTATGCATAAAATAAACATATATTACCAGATTATAAAGAGGAAATTTAATCCGAAAACAGGATTGTGTATAGTGCCTGTACTTCTGACTCCTCTAAAGCCTCCAGTCAGACAAGCAATGATCATGGTGAGCTACCCTCAGGTGAGACTGCAAGGTCATCTGCAAATCCCTGTGAAGCCACTTATTCTCATTTCTTATCCTTTTTAAGCACCTAGCAGAAATCCTTGTATAAGTATTGTTCAAACACTATCAGTCAATAATTACTTATATAGTAGATATCATTCCTTGTAATTCCATACTGACACTGATCATCTACTATTCATTCCCCTGAGTGAAGATTCAGAACAAATAACACAGAGCAGTGAACATTAGCATGTTTAGAACAAAAAAAGTCTTGAAATTTGTTAATACAAACTAGATATCCAGCACTGGCTATACTAAGGAAAAGCCAGATACACTATTGAGAGAAGTATCTGACTGTGATAGCTGGAGTAGCAAAAAAGGAATAAAATTCAATAGCACAAAGTACAGACTTGAGCCCTTAGGGACCAATAACAAGAATTTCTACCCTTAGGTAGAAATTTATCAGTCACAATTAATGAAAAGTAAAAGGATTTGGATGTCTTACATAGTGACTGGATGGCTGCAAGCCACTGATGTGATATAGCTGTGAAAAAGGCTAATGCAAAGCTTGTCTGTTTTCAGATATAGAGAGATCCTACTATCCTTTACAGCCCTCCTGAGACCTCAGTTAAAGCATCACTGTCATCCACAATTAAGAAAGACCAATTCTATCTGAAAGATTAATGAAGGCCAATACAGCAATGTTATAAATGAAGAACCCATCTTTAAATGCAGTAACTAAAAGAATTTGGCTTAGAAGGACAAAGACTAAATGTTATATGGTTACTTGACCTAAATGTATTGGCACTTCCACTCCAGAAAGGTACAAGTTCTAAGTAGGCTAAATGTGGGTAGGAAACAATCAGTTATTTACAGGCCTTGAGGACTGAAAATTGCAAGGTGAGTATCTAGTCATCAGATTTTGGAATAAGAAAAATTAGAAGTAGGACAATGGATCAGATTCTGGTGAAAAAAATAGAATTAGGACAATGGAGTTTGCTTTCTGAAAATAGAGTTTGATTAGTTTATGAAAGGAGCTATTCAAATACCTTTTGAAGATATTGAGAAATAGGATTTGGTGACCCAGGAACTCCTTCCCAGTTTTGTGCTCTCATAAGGAACTAGCTACTACAAAATAAAGATTACATAAAATGAGTCTTACTGATGAATATTAAGTATTTTATCTGACTTTGGCTTGTTTAATGCTTGTTGGAATGTGTTTGGACTCAAGTTCAATTAAGTATTTAGGATCTCTGATCTTATTAATCTAGTAGCTTCCTGTTAGATTCAATAATTCATTTATTTGGTAATGAAGGAACTTTAAAAGATTTCAGGAGCTCAAATTTCAAATAGGAACTGTGTCACAGACAACACTGGGAAAGGGCAAGATAAGAACCTGGGGAGGATGATCACGTGTAGAACAGAGCAGTGTTGTCCATAATAAGAGACTTTATCAGCTTAAAGAGTTCTAAGGCAGAAAAGGCCACTAACTTTACTTCTACTGTATGAAAAAAGACCCATTAAAATTTACTCTATTATCCACAATATTAACTTCAATAACAAGTATTGTACTTGACTATAACATGTGTTTGGCTATCACATAAATTCTAGGAGTGCATCCAGTCTTGACTCAAAGGCGTCAAGAAAGGGTGAATTCATCAATTCTACTGGTAGTTTGTTCCAGTGATTAATCATGCCTAGTGTAAAAAAGTGTGTAGTGCATTCCTAATTGGAATTTGTCTGCAAGATTAAAGACCCATTTTATATCTGGTGTTTCCTCCCAGCAGAGGTTTATATATTCTGCAATGAAACCAATGTTTAAGCTCTGTCTATACGGCACTCTGGCACTGTCCCAGCTCCTTATCAGAGTGAGACTAAGGCGTACGCCGTTCCCCTCCCGTCACCTGCACTCTGACTTCTTTGTAAACAAAATCCTGGCTTCCAAGCAACATAGAAACCATAAGTCTGGACTACTAGAAAATCTCAACCCCATGGCATTTTCTTTTTCCAGCAGATAAATTAGATGACATCACAGTATTTTTTGTTCATCAGAGAAACAACTTTTATCATAAAATATAATTTTTCAGCCTGGGAAAAAAAGGTTGCTCTTCTTCATGTTGTACAGGATTTCAGTGTTACTTTAAAACTCATTTTATATTACTACTTTATATTATATTCCATTACTAGTCTCACCAATGTCATGACCCTGGTGAAAATCACCTTTCTGTTCTTACTTCATTAACAATTTCAAAAGATACTCTTACTGGTTTTTCCACATAACTATAATGGGAGGTCAGATTCAATCACTCATCTCTTATGACCCTACATACTTTCCAGTCTTTGTCTTTTCGTAGTATGCAGTTTCTTCTCTCTTGGTGTGATAGCTATTCAATATTCTATTAAATCCTAGTTAATATTGTGGTCTGGAGGAAATCTAGCATGGAACAGTATCCTTAACAACTAGCTTTTTCATGACCTTGAAAATGTGTTTCCAGGATGATTTTGGATTTTTTCTTCTTGCTTTATTTTGGCAAAGTGATAAAAAAATAAACAGGAAGAGAAAGTAAAACACTATTTGTTCACAAAACAGAACTGATTTTTAACTAATTTTAATATCTTTGACAAATCTCAGCAGTAACTAAATGATCATGAGAACTAAATTACCCTCCACCCCAGAGACAAACAGAGCAGAGTGGATTAGCATAGTGGTTCCCTTTCCCAGCTACATTTTCAGGAGACAAATACTGAAGGGTCAGCTGTCTGAGCATTTTACCCTGTGCTTTTGTGAGGTCGCATTGTGCCTTGCATTCTGTAACACCTGGGATATTTGCAGTATCTGTGAGATGCGCACAAATGTCTCTGATAAACCAAATCTTCCAGCATTATGCTTGGGAACAGAGTCAGTGCCTGAATGACTGGCTCCTGTAATGGATGTGAGCAATCAGGTCTTTCAAACCGAAGCCAAAACGCAGATATTGTTAAGCACACATAATGTGGTTTGCTAACAGTAGGTGAACTTCATATGTCTCAGATATTAGGATGGGTAAGCAGTCTAAAGGGTGTCAACTGTGTACAAATTAAAAACTATAAAAATCTTTTTCTGCTACCAGATTTTAAAAAGAAAATCCTAAACTGATCTTTCAGTAGGATTTTATGCTGATTGTTAAGTAATAGTCTTATTTATATTTTGTCTGTAGCTGACTGTCCCAAAACAGAGAGAGACATTTTGTGTGTAGTAGCTCAGAAAGGATATGATAAAGCCAGGAAAACACAGAGAAGGCTGAAATGGATGATTCCTAGTATGGACTGACTCGCCTGCTAAAAGCAACTAAGTTATGTAGGACCAAGTTAGCTTTGACTTTTCATCCTGGAAAAAGTTACTCCTGAAGAAAGCGATAATTAATGAATGACAAGGATAAGGTGAATAAGAGACTATTGCTTCCTATCTTCTCCAGTATAGGAAGAACTGGGGGTCACCTATTAAACTTATCGTGTGGCAAGTTCAAATCAAAGGCAAAAGTGATTTTTCTCAACAAACACAATTAGCTATGGAGAGTTTCACTATCACAGTGCATGTTGTGAATGCCACAAGTTTTACACATGCTCTAATGAAAACTGAACAGAACAATATTACACTGAAGTTACTAAATGTGCAGACATTGTGCAATTCTCAGAAAATATTGAAGCCTGGGAATATATTCAGGAAACATATTCATGTTTAGTCTATTTCTATAATCCTTCCTAAACATTATTGTGTATTTATTTTATATAATATCCTATATAAAAGACCCTTTGTTATGGATCAAAAGGCCAGTGCATCATGAGACATCATCAACAGAGCTTGAGAAATTAAAATGTGCTGCAGTTCAATAGAGCATTTAAATGAATGCTTAATTTGATTTCATTGAACCTTCGGTTTATGCTTAACCTGTTTGTAGAATAGGAAATGAAACAACTTTCTGCTTAACTCTTCTAAGGAAATAGAATCAGTGTTTATACAACACAGCAAACCACAGACCTCTGGAAAGACCTGCACTGAGAAAGTATATCTTACATGCAGAATTGCATATGTTGAGGATGCTAAATTAGAGACTTTATGTGACAGACTAAAGGAGGGTAACATTTAAATGGAATCATTCTGTATTAGTAACATCAGCTGTAAGCAATAATATATGCCTGTACAGTCCAGGTTATATCTGTGCTCAGAATATGTTACAAGACCTCAGTCCTGCTGGACTAAAGATATGCACCTTTAAAGATATGCTAAGGATATACCTCATATTACATTATCCCCACAGGGATCTCCTGGCTCATTAACTTCTTCTGCTTTGAGCAGTAATGTGGCACTAATCTCACCAAGGAAACAAACTTGCAAGTTCTGAAAGTCGCATCCTTGCCACTAGGAGCATATTTTTGTTCAGCTGGAGTTGGCATTTTGCCAGGGGAAAAGTCAGGAAATGTTTTTAACTAAATGCAATGAAAGTTAGAGATGTGTATCTGCAATATCTGCAGTAGCTTCTTAATTGTCTTAGGGTCATAAAAATGTCCAGGACTGGAGGAGCCTCAGGAGATGCAGGTTCTGGCTGGAAATTTTCCTTGCTTTGGCTTTCCATGTGCTTTATGTTTGGTTTTCAGGTTCTTCTGGATGTACAGATAAAGTCCACTGTACTTCTTATCAGTTATTAGAGCAGAGGTGCTTGGTACCATTTGGAAACATAGTGACCAGATATGACACAGTACCTCTGGTCTCGTGACTGGCACTTGGAGGTTATGTGGATGCCATAGGGTAACTCAAACAACAACAAAATTTTTAGGCACCTGAACAACCGATCCTTTAGGGTTGAGTCAATCTGAAATTAGCAGACTCGAAATACAGATGTCTGCATGGGCTGGAGCAGTGAGTTAGACATAGGGGTCTGGCCACCTTTGCTGGTTTTTGGCTGGGGTACAGTTACTTTTCTTCAGAGTAGCTGGTGTGGGGCTGTGTTTGGGGTTTGTGCTGGAAACAGTCTTGATAACACAGGGATGTTTTTGTTGTTGCTGATCAGGGCTTACACAACACCAAGGCCTTCTCTGCTCCTCATCCCAGCAGTGAGGAGGCTGGGGGTGCACGAAGAGTTGGGAAGGGGACACAGATGGGACAGCTGACCCCAAATGACCCAAGGAACATCCCAGACCATATGTCATCATGTCCAGTACATAAAGCTGGGGAAGAAGAATGTTTGGAATTACAGCATTTGAATTCCCAAGTAACCACTGAGTGTGATGGAGCCCTGCTTTCTTGTGCATGGCTCAACATTTGCCTGTCCATGGGAAGTGGTGAATTAACTCCTGTTTGTCTTGTTTGTGTGCTGTGCTTTGCTTTACCTATTAAACTGTCTTTATCTAAACCCACATATTTTCTCACTTTTTTGTTTCCAATCCTCTTCCCCAGCCCACTGGGGAGAAGCAAGTGAGCAGCTGTGTGGGGCTTAGTTGTGAACTGGGGTTAAACCACAATAACACCCTAAAATGCCGGTCATTTTCAAAAGTGGATGTGAACAGGACTTCTGAAAAATTTGTGCCCCAATGAAGCAGCCTGTGAAGGTGAGTAGGACACTTCAAGACATCTCAGGGGCATGAGATATCTGTGCTTATGTAGGTGAATTTTACCCAAGGCATTTTATTCAAGGAAAGCTGAAAGGCCACCTAGGCTGCGTAGACTGCATTAACTAGAGGTCTAATGTCACTTTAGGCACTAAATCAGATCTCCAGCTCCCTCTTCAGAAGGAATAGGTCTTGTATAGGCCCTGTGTCAGCCACTGGTACACCTTTGTCCTCTTGAATACTGCTAAATGTCTTCATTTGAGGAACTGAGCTGTATCTGAGATCTCCACTGACTACAATAGAAGTTCTTAGCTTGCCTCAGGTATTATCTACATGTCAGCATCTACACTGAGGTATTTTGCAGCACACATTGACTGCCTGAACACAACTATGACGATGTATGAGACACCTGGGCTGTTTCACCTGCCCTGCAGCTGCTGCAGGCTTGTAGGTGTATCCCTGCACTGAAGACACCTAGATACAGATGCCCACATGTAGGTATCCGTCACCACCAGGGACACTGTAGGATATGCAAGGAATCTGCACAGGAGTGTGTGGCATGCCATGGTGTTTGTAGGAAAACCATATCCTTTTGGAGCATCAGCTAGAATTGGAATGTCAGGCAATAATACTACATGTCCAGACTTTGTCAGCTGAATCAAGCTACTGCATTTTAGGAAAGTAACTCATTTGTTTAAACATAGAGCCACCTGATATGTCCTAGAATATTCAGGATGTCCATATGGAGACACTATGCCATTCCAGGAAATCTCCCATGACATGAGATGCTTCTGTTTAGGCAAGTGCTATGTCTCTGAAGTTGATTCCCACCCTAAATGTCACTTTTATCTACATTAGTACTCTGATAATGTTCACAAATGTATCAGCATGCTTTAAGCTGACATTTAGACCCTAGTTAATTAAAACCAGGTTTTTAATCAAGAACTTTCTTAATTTCCTCCTTATGAGTGTTAATATGATTTTGTAAATCATTCATTTTTATCAGTGCCGTGCCAATGCCGAGGCTTTTCAAAACAATTCTTGCCCAAAGAGTTGAGGTGCATGGAGTAGTGTAGCCCATGATAAGATTCACACAGAAAGCTATTCCATCATGAATTCTTTTCTGCAAGGATTTTAAGCCTGCAGGCTGCACTTACAGATAAAAGAGAATCTTGGAAGTGAGTAGCATCTAATTTGAAGTACCCTTTTATTTTGTTCTAATAGCATTGCTTTAAAAAAATTTCTCATTTTTATGGGATCTTTGTGAACAAATACTTATAAATTCATGAGGTTTTTTCTTTCCTTAAATTACAAAACAGCAAAAAAATGGTTTAATTCAAATGACATCTTCTGATGGAAAACTGTCTGAAAAACAGCGTGAAAAAAATAACAGCTTTGATAAGGTTTTCATTCATTCAACTGTTTACAAATTTGTATTGCCATGTTTTCTTCTTTAGAAACACAAAGTATAGTACATTTTACCCCAGAAGGGAATACAATGACTGATGGTCTCCATCAAGATTTTGTTGGCTCTGTGTATAAAGCCCAAACTTCACATTATGTTGTACTTGTGGTTATTGAACCTCTGACAGCTGTAACTGTGGAACAGAAGTGGGTGATCTGAGTCTGAGCAGGTTGTAGAACACTTGCTGGGTAATATATTATTCAAATGATGTGATTCCTGAGCAGTCTTAAAAACTGTCAGTGGACTAGACTGGTTATCAGAGGAATTAAACAGCACATTTTGCTCAGTTCTCTGCTGTGCTAATACATCCTACTTAGCTGAGGTGTCCTTGTTGCTTCACAAGCTAATTTACTTAGAGCTAGTTTGAATATATCCACATAGCACTGCATTTTGTAGCGACACCTAAGCTGGAGCAAATAACTCCTAGTGTCCATCTTTCCAGACAATACACAGATTAATTTTGCAAGCAATGCAACCAGGACATTTTGTTTTTCTTTGTCTTTCTAGGTGATATTTAAGATCTAATTTTCTGAAATAAAGATTGAAGACATTTCAGAACTCAAGAAGTCTCTCGTGTCAAATTATCATGTGTATACCAGTAAATATGCCCTGATAATCTCAAAAGATTAAAAGTGTTTCCATAAACTGGAGTTGAAAAAGATTTGGGGGAAATTAAAGGGAATACACTGGTGCAAGAGACAGATAGAAAACTGTTAAACTCTTAAAGCTGGCCTCATGATTTTAAATTATTGCATTCATGCTAAAATAAAGTGTCTTCAAAGGACAAGACATTTGTTTTATACTGGCAAACACATCTGCTCAGAAAACCATGTCCTTAAGTCAAGGGGCTTGAAATCTATATGAAAGTCATTCAGTATTTGAGGAACAATGCAGAAACAGTTACTATGAATGTAAAATATTTCTAAGCCTTGTCCACAAAGTGATTTCACTAACACATACCTCAAAGAGAGGGAAAGACAAAAATAATAATCACAGTTACAATCTCTTAACTTCCCATATAACATTGGACACGGGATCTTAGGATCTGATTATTTTCATGAAGTAATATATTGGAACAACCTGGTCTAGTGAAGATGTCCTTGTCCCTGTCACGGGCTTTGGAATTAGATGCGATTTTGTCATTTAGTTGAGACTAATGCCTGTATTTTAGTCTTCCAAAGCTTTTGGTTTGAGAAAGATTTTCATTCATAAGGAATGTTCTGTGATTTTTCACTTAGTATGAGTAAATTCTGTTATTTCTACTTGTCTAGCTTCAGTTCTAGGTGTTGCATCCTCTTAAACATTCTTCCATTGTAATGAAGTAATGAAGCCATGAAAAATAGTCTCTATTTGTAGGTATTAGAGACGGTGAATAAATCACTGCTAAACTCCTCTGAACTTAGCTAATAGAAAAGCTTATGTTTCTCCCAGAGAGGCCAAGCTCACACATCTGTAGCATTCAGTAGCTATTATGGATGGGTTTTTAATTCTGTGATGTATATGATTCAAATTTTTTTTTATGGTTTTTGTTTCAGAAAGAGCTGCTTGAATTTAAGTATCAGACCTGAGACGCAGGTAAATAAAAATAAAAGCTGTGGTATGAACTTCCACTGTGATAGCTACTGTAGCTCTCTGTATGGCTTCTTTACCTTCAAAAAAGGAACCATGTAGCAGTATGCAGGCAGACTGACACCTTCACCTATACACTGGGTTGCTGAGAGGAAAGGTTTCTTTAAGGCCAGTGACTGTGACATAGGTGCTGAACTACAGGTTCCCCACCTAGTAACCTGTTCATCTGCCCACACATCACAGCCCAGCGCTGCAAGTCTCTAATAAAAGCACTGGGCTTTAACTGAACCCTTCACAGCATAAATACTTGCCTTGTCCAGGAGCTATTCCATGTCTAATACACAATCGGTAATAAAAGAAAAATAAAGCAAAAATGACTGGGCAGCGTCTTCATCCTGCAGCTTGTTACTCTCTGCAGCAAATCCACATGATGGTACTTCTTCTCTTGCAGAGGTCTGATAATGCAGCAGCAACAAAGAAATGTCAATTAGCACTTCCACTGAAAGAAGAAAATCCCATATAGATGGATCCTCACTGCCTTTATGAAAGATTATATATATATATATATGTTTATATCCAGTTCCTACCAGCATATCTGATCAAAATGATTTTACAGTAGTTAAATATAGACGATGTTTTCTTTCTTCTGGAAAGAATCAATGCCAGGAAATAATAGAGGGAACAACGTAAATTATGGCAAGACAAAAAAGTATTTACACAGACCTTCCAGAATGTGCTGAAGTGCTGATTAAGAGAAACACTTAAGCTTTACTTGATTCCTTCTTTGAGATAAAGGGGTCTAATCAAGAGCTGTAAGTATACCCAGAAGGCCAATCTGAACACTCTGCTGAATAGATTGCCATGAAAACTTCAATTTGCAGAGAAACCTGATAGTTTTATAAAAGGTAGACTTGGAGGGAGTGTCTGGTTTGCAGAATCACAGAATGGTTTGGGTTGGAAGGAACCTTAAAGATCATGCAGTTCCAACCCCCTGCCATGGGCAGGGACACCTTCAACTATCCCAGGTTGCTCCAAGCCCTGTCCAACCTGGTCTTGAACACTTCCAGGGATGAGGCAGCCACAGCTTCCCTGGGCAACATGTGCCAGGGCCTCACCACCCTGACAGCAGAGAATTTCTTCCTAATATCTAATCCAAACCTATTCTCTTACAATTTAAAGCCATTTTAGATATTTCCTCCATTTCGATTCCTGTTTCTTTTGTATAGCAGTCAGAAAAAGATGGAAATACCTCGATGGGATCGGTGGTATTGCCATGGACTAATAGATTTCTAGAGATGATCATCAGTTTAAAAGTGAGCTACAGAGCAGCCCCAAGGTTGTGACAAACGGTCAGCAATGAAGAAAAAAAGGTTAGGCAGGGGTTAAAAATATTTAATTACTTACAGAGCAAAGTAAGAGGAAAAACTCCACACTTTTAAAAAGTGCGGACAACTAGTGCTCAAAGTTTAACTAATTTATGACCATGAATACAGGCGTAAAGTATGAGAAAGGATGAATTAAAACATTGATGCAGACCATGAATTTTGGAGTCTTCAGGATCAGTCTCCTTGGAAAGAAGTATTACACATCTTTCTGTATGGGACATTGGTATCAAAGTTAGGTACCAGTGACAGCAGAATGATTTTTGTTGCTGTGCCATCTTGGGGAGACTGGAAAAAATCCTGACAGGTACAACTGCAATTTTTTAAAACCTTGTAGCCTCCTTGTCATTTCATTTTCTCCTGTCCTTGTAACCATTCACCTCCTGTCTTCTCTTACCAATTGTGCACTAGAATCACACCTATGCTCCTTATTTTAAGAAATAAAAGTATGCCTTGTATGTAGAGTAGTTCTTTCCAGCATCTCTGGCTGCTTTTTGCTTTTTTTCTGCCCTGTGCACCTTAGATATAAAACAGAATGTTCAGGAAAAGCCCATGTGAACCTAACTCTGCTTTTAGAAAACTCAAGGCAAGTTTTGCCAGGAGTTTGAAGGGAACAAAGTTAAGCTGTATGAGCTCTTTTGAAAATCCCACCCACAGGTGCCCCAGGCAAAGTAAAAACATGAAACCTCCTTCTGAAGAGTTAAATCTGCCATGTTGGAGATGTAAGGCCAAATCCTCAGTTAATGTAGATCAGCCCTGACACTAAACACATTTATGATCCACTCCAGTACCTTCCTCCACCTCTGCAATAAACTTTCTATACTTTCTCCATAGGAAGCTTCAGCTGGAACCCAGCTCACTGTAAATGCTCACGACAGTAATTCTCATCTTTCTTTCTCAAAACAGAAGCAAATAGTCTTATAAAATCTTAAGCAATTACTACTTTATTCTTCAAATATAATATGAAGGCTTGATGCTGCTACAAAGACCAGAAAATGCAGTGCATTGCTCAAGTCACACTGATGACAACTGGAATTGTTTCTCTGCCCCTATCCTAACCTTCCTCCATCATCTCTAAAAAAAAAAAAAGTGAATCTTACCTTCCAACCCATTAATTTAGCTGTGTCCTTTCCTCTTAATTCATTGAAATGTTTATTTTCCATCTTTCTCAAAAGCCTGGGTCCATGGTCACTTCTGTATATCTCAACAGTATCTAGCAGAAAGAGATATTTCCTTTGCAGAAATTTTTGCATTTGCCAGCATCACTTTTCAACCTGATAAAATAGAAAACTCTTCAATTAGAGATGAGCCAGAGAGGTGATCCTGCTCAACCCTAGGCCCATGCTCTGATTTCATTTTATATCCACAAGCCCTACCAGGCACTTCTACAAATGCTTTAAGAAAAGAAGTTTAAGAAATGGGAAAAAAGCCATCCCTGCTTATGCTATCCTCCCATAATAACTTCTGAGGGAGCCTTTCCTAATGCGCTGTGCTTCCCTGACTACCAGGTTATTGAAGTGGGAATCTGTGCACGAAAGGAAACTCGGTCCAAATATTTCAACAAAAAGAATTATTGGAGATTCTGCTGGCGTGTGCAAATTACAGAATAAGAGCTGGATACTTGGCACTCTTCTGCTGACTGTAATTTGCTGCATTTGACTAGTCTGCTGTTTGCTTCCCCACAACCCCTGGGACACCTCTGGCTAAAACATTGCTTGTAACCTGGATTTCTATTTTATTAACCTTCTCCTTTATCTAATGACAGTCTGTCATGTTCTGGGATGCCAGAACAACATTTGCCTGATAAGATGTCTCCTGGGAAAACAGGCAGTTATAAGGGATAAAAGCATACAGAAATGGCCAGCTTCAGCAAAAACTGCAACTCTGTGAACTTGCCTTAATTAATATGTTCTCTACTCTTGGTGCATTTGTACTGCCATAAATGTCATTATTTTCAGTTTATTAAGGATGCCTGCAAAGAGAGGAGAGTTTTTTTGGAAACCTGATCTCTTGTATGTCTTCCATATTGACGATATGAAAAAATAAAATGTTCTTTGGGAAAGAGGAAGAATAAGCAAAGAGAACCTTTATTATGAAATTGCAGCTCTGAGTTACATTTTTTCATTTTTTCATCGTATGGAAATATTCTGGAAACAGAACCCTGCTATGAGCAATCCATCTTCATTGCACATATTTAATATGCATGGAGAGAGCAATAGCTTGTGATTTTTTTCCTTGGACTTCCTCATTTCATTTCCCTCCATTAACTCTTTTACAACTCCCTGTAGCACTGAAGTGTAGCACCAGTTATTCATGGCACATTCTTTTTCTGTCTTCTCAGCCACACTTGAGCTCCTTGCTCCTGGCAAGGAGATTTTCCTGACCAATAAATAAGCTTTCTGATGACAGCAATTTGAAATACAGGTGTAAAATGCAGAGAAAATGTCATGTACTTCAATTTAGATATTCTCCATTTCAGTGACTAGGCCGTATTTTGATCCCTAACATACATAAATCTGTGTCTCATTCCTTTTTTAAGTCTGAGCGTTTGAGAGTTAAACATAGACCATGCACTGTCCTGGGAGAACACCCTTAGGAAGTCAAAGGACAATTTATTTAGTGAATATATGACCACCATCACTGTAATAGGCAATTTCCTATTGATTAAAATATGAAAATGTCTTATGTCCTTCTTGCCTTATCATCATGTGGATTCCCAGGAGTTCACAGCAATTAGACCAGCTATGTTATGTTGTAGTTCACATGTCCATACCTTTTGTGATTTTTTTTGATATCTCTTTTGACTGACACTACATGGTGAGGAAACTCTGATGAAAATTACTTTCATCCTCTTCATAGTATGTACAATCACAACTTTTGGCTCCAAAGTTCCAATAACTTCAGATATTGAACATTTTTTTTACCACTGCACCAAACAGCCATCTGTAGTAGCCCAGATCATGTATTATTCTCCCAGTGATGAAAAGCACGGAGCTTTTAATGAAAATCCATAGCCACTGCGCACAGGCAGAAAATCAGATACAGTGAATGCTGGATAGGACTCATGAGCACTGTGAAAAATATTGTGCAGAATCAGCCCATAACATGCTCATTGTCATTTGTAAAACCTTATTAAAAAACTAAGCATAACATTTCCAATTGAAGTTTCCATAAGAGTTAGTGGGAAATACAGAAGGTGTCAAACACATCAGCACTAGGGGTACCCTGCTGGGATGCACATATCAAGAACACACATGCCAGTTAACTGAACACTAAATTTTTTCCCTCTAAGTTTTACTAACTTTCTAATAACTCTGGGATGTGCTTATTTGTTGTTTGCATGAGTTTCTGGTGTTGGGTTTTGGTTTGGTTTGGTTTTTAGGTTTTGTTTTTTCAATCAAGCAAAATATTAAGCTGGAAACAGATTGTGAAATCTGTGAAATATAAACAATTTAATTTCTTGTCTTCTCCTTTCTCCTTTTATGATGATCATGTCTTTATTACTATATGACCTCCATGCTCAGTAGACTCTGTATATATAGCTATGACATCTCTAATTCAGCAAAGCCAATGCCGTGTCAGTCAGAAACCTTCCAGGTAGATGGATCAAGTGTTGTCAGCTCAAGCCCAAGTGTACTGCTCCTTTGGAGGCATATTGATTAGATTTTACAGCTCATTACTTAAAATCAAGAGAAATATAATGTTCAACTAAACTGTTTGCAGCTTAATTTCTCTACATAATTAATTATTCTTCCCCCAAAAGGGCAG